TTGATTCGGAAGCCATATGTTACTGCAGCGAATACTTTTATTCGCGCAGTGTCAACGTAAGTAGCGAAGGTAGCTGGGCTCAGTTCATTTCACAGGGGTTTTTCCATGCAGTTCTATCACTCAGACTTATCCACTGAGATATGTGAACGGATCAATTCTACACCTACGTTTTATAAATAAATAAATGTCTTTTTCTAGGCAGTGCGAGACATACCTGCAAAGGCATAATCACGGTGATGCAGACACGCTGTCAACAGAGTCGTGGATGATCAGCAGCGACCTACGCACATGCGATCGAAGTTATGTGTGAGGTTTGCAGGAACGAAAATCTGGGCGGAATAAGCAACAAGTTAGAGTTAGGGCCAAGCTGCTTGCACAGAGATACATGCTGCTAACAATTCCACAGTCGAATGAAGTAAAAAAGGCCGAGGGTACTAACTGCGCTCAAACGGTCTATCTTCAAGTACCTTTCAAAGGTGCTATCGTGGTCGTCCAAGTTGAAAGACGTTTGCATACAGCGAATCGCCGGACATTCAATGCCGCCAAATTCTGCAAAATTTGGAAGACCAGAAAGTTGCCTATGCCTCCAGTGAAGCATATTCAATTGATCTACGCCACAACTCATTGTAAATACCAATTCGTTTGTAACTGCGGAAGTAGTTACATTGGCAGAACAGATCGATCCTTGGGTAATCGCACTGGAGAGCATATTCCAAAACAGATTGCTAAAATGTCGACACAGCAAGCTGCCGGCATGATTTAGCACCAGACATCTATTCGAAACAGACCGTCAGGTTGACGCTGAGTCAACATTTACAGTTATCTATCGAAATGAAAACCCCAAAGTTTTGAAGTATGCCGAAGCGGTGGCACTTAACCGGCATCGCCCTATTCTTTGTGTACAGAAACAAGTAACCGTCTCCCTAGAGCTTCCTTGGGGCACAGACCCTAAGATCAAGTTCGTTGATGTTATTTTTGCATCTACATATTTTTCCTTTGTGATCGGTTTCAAAAGTTTGATTTTTCTGTCACTTGATTCATAGCTAAGCTTTTAGCTTGTGAGTGAGCAAATAACAGGAAATAGTTCCATCTCGCAACAATGTCTTCGCATTGTCTTATTTAGAAATCCGACCTAGTATAGTGATAACTGAACATAGCAAAAGCAGCGTATCTGATGTTTCGAGCGATTCGGTCAGAATACCTGCGTCGAATTCCGTGCACTCGCTGTTGTGACAGCTTTCCGGACCACAAAGAAATTCGAAATATCCGCATGTACGGAATTTAATTAATGTTACCTCTGGGAATTTCGTAGTGTCTCCTACATGTATACCGTGTTAATGCAACTGAAATTCTGACACGAATGCTGTAGGACCAACTGTACGTACGTATGCGAAATATCGTATTTTATCAAAATGTGGTTCTGATGCACCAGCGCTAAATTTAAATGTTGGGAGTAAAAGGCAGCGGATCCCTATTGATTGTGTGAACAAGCGCAAAATGTATCTAACCTACGTCCACGTGAGATTGTGCTGCGTCAGGAAAGAAAGTGGTTGTACAGCAAGCAATCGGTGCTGACGCGAATCGCTAATCACCACCTGCTGAAACTCAACCATAGCATTAATCTCCGAGGTAACTGCTTGAAACCGAGTAAACCATACTGCCGTTTGGAATGCGGGCGGAAATATTTCAGGTTTATCAACCTTGAAACCCTGTCCCAAACTTAGTTATTTCCACTTCTACTTTGGATATGTTCAATAAAGGACGGAATGTTGACTCGGATCCCATCACTTCGCAATCCCAGCTGCGCCACTTTGGAATATTTTAGTCATACACTCCGCCGCATTTATATGTAATATGGACACGAATAGGTGTTCTTGTGCTTATCTTTCTCACTGAATACGTCAGCTGTATTTGCTCCCGAAGAAAATCTTGTATACTTACATCCAATTCCCTTACCCCATTGCCGTTGTTCAGTTGCGCCTTTCATCGACGGACGCCTAAACAAACGACTCAGATATTTTTATATTGTAGTTCCACCCCAACCATCCTACGGGACTTGTCAAGCCCCTTCGATTTTACCTCTGATAAACCAGTGTTCATTGATGTTCATTTGAACCGTTGGTATGCATTTCCCCCCTCGTTCATGTGAACGATGTGAACGCTGAAGTAGCGACTGCCAGCTTCGAATACCGGGTTTTGCTCCTCAGGATTACACTGGATACGAGGTATGTAGATGGAGCTGTGTGTAATGCAGCGTAACTCACACATAATCCCTCCATATACGCAGGCGTCTTGAGGCTGCTCGCGGTCACAGTGACAGGCAAAAATGAAAGCAATTGCTGCCAGCGGATTTCATTACGGATGAGAAGAACGGATATTCGATGCACCCATTACATTGCCTGAATTGCACATCGCTATAAAAAAGAACTGTGCTCTATACCTTCCATTATCATGGCAACGTTACAAATGACCAGTAGCAGTGCTAGCAGGCGAGGTCATTTTTTTAACGGAAATGTAGCAGCATGAAGAAAATTTGATTATCCGCCGTGAATTAACTTCACGGTTGAGTACGTGCTTCTATTCGAAACCCGACTGTATTGGTTCCATTGTATTGACAACTAGTTCGTCCAAGCAGTACGTGCCTAAGCACACAAATTTAGTTATGGGAATTTAAAAAACGACTGAAAGCTTTTGGTCAAGATGGAATAAGCGGATTTATTTATCAAACTTAAGTTTTACTAACTAATTCTATTGCCCAGTGTCAACTAGACCTGTTGTTTTCTTTGCTAATGCTGGTGTTGCGTGGATAGAATTCTGCTGCGTTTTTTTACATTTGTTTTAATTGCAACTTGCACCGCCCGTCTCCTGACAGTTACAGGTGACAATGTCCCTGAATCTAGCACTGGTCTTGAAAGCCAGTTGTTGATTACAATGATACAGTAATACAGTAATACGCAAATGGGTAAACATGAATCGTCAACCCACCGGTTTCCACTGGAAAACTGCAAATCCTCAGTCAGGTTAATGGGACTGGTTGAGATCATTAGTAGACGGAAATGCATACATCCACATATGAGCAGCAACGTATTGGACAGATGTTTCTTTTCGAAACAGAGGTTACAGCTGGTCTCATGCACCGCTCACGAAAATGTATTCTGTAATTGATGCCAACACATTGGAAAGCACGGATGTTTGCTCCGACGAAAAGAACAATGCACTTCCAATGGGTCGAGTAAATGTTTCTCATAATTTGCAAGAAGATTTAGGTATTTGTTTAAGCTGTAGTGTTATGATTTTCAAAACAGTTCGGTTTATAACATTTTTGATTTACGCCGGTTTGTAAGAACATTTCACCCAAGCCCTACCAAATGAATCTGTACGTGGTTTGTGTTCTAGTTCTGAGATTGTAAAATAGCTATTCCACGGGAACAACACATGCCAACTCCTGCAGTAACAAATTATGAGCTAAATTATGCGTATTTAATACTTCATGGAAATACCAAATAACGGAATGAGGATTTGCAATTTCATCTTCTCTTACTCTGTCCTCAATCTTTGAGCATACCTTGGATTTCGATTCCAACATTCAATGTTCACTTCAGTAAAGCGCTTATATTATAATGATGCCCAGGGTGTGTGTTTAACCTTTCCACCGGAGTTAATTGCACAGCCACGTTTACGCCTCTGTATGGTGTTAGGTATGCCTCAAGGTGCCACTGTAACTCACCAATAGACAGCAGGTTGCTGAGAATCAAGCAAACGGACATTTTCTCCAAACCATCTCATTGTTGTCATTATCCTCCTTGGTTTTGCTCTAGCCCCCACTTGTAGAAAAGCATGGAACCATAGGGCCATGTAGCTTCAATAATGCCTGTCGCAGTTGCAGGGCGTCCTATGCTTGACCCTGATTTATCAGTCGACCCGGAGGGTCAACCGCCAGAATTGTTCTAGTTCAGTATGCAGCAACACTAGGGTTACGTTCAAAACTCATCCGTAAGTCATTTGAATACCTTTGAATACATTTTCAAAGCCAATTTTACCGGATACCGATACATTAAATGTGTTAGTCGTTTCGTAAGAATCGAACCTCAAATGAAGATAAATTTGCTGAACACATCATTTCCTCTGATAACATACTAGATTACAAGCTTCTTTGTCAAAGTTAAAAACGTGCACTGCTCAAATGTACAGATGGATGTGTAAGCAAATGTCGTTCACTGAACTGTGCAACCAGTTGACGGACTTTGCCGAATGAATCAGGCTGATCATGAGCATTGTTTTCATAGTTACATAAAAGGGTAGCTTCGGACAAAATGTTTGCTCCAAAACCAAGCACGAACAATTCCCATTAGTTCAATTTATTAAGAGACGGGAGTTTAACGATGAAAAGGTTTAATACCCAGCTTGAATATACCTACTACTTCGGCAACCAATATGCGTATTCAGAAGATTTAACATGTAAATAAACTGAGGTAAAGTCATCAAAAATGACTGCAAATATAAAGATTGGATGCGACTGTCATCGGTCCAGTTTGCGATTGCTAGTACACCAAGGTATGGACCAGTTTAATACATTTGAAAAGATTTTCAAGGCTCAAATTTACGGTGTCAAATATTATGCTTGCTATGGGTGAAAGTTCAAAGGCAACTAAGCTCATCAGTATTCAATTTTTGCAATATTTTACAAGCCAACTATTTTCGCTTGGGTACAGATCTCACTGGTAAATGCGAGAGCGAAAAGAATAGTTGTCACCAATCCGCTTACTGCACCTCAGCCGACGTAAAATCTTACAGTCAAACTTGGCTGCAATATTACGAAACAAAACACACAACCATAAAGAATGAAGATGAATAAAAACGTTTTCATTTTACAAAAATAAATAAACAAAAGTTGAATAGCACTCATAGGTTATCAGACTGATTGATTTATGTGATTGCGAAAAGAGTTCTGAAAGTGATATGCAACTCCAGTGATCTGGCAGCGAAATCCATATTCGTATCCATATCTGGTGCAAGGTCACCAATTCTTCTTCTATTTTGCCTTCTATTTATCACCCACATGAACAAATAGGGGCATATTCAAGGATAACAGGGCTGGAGCATATGGCTTACAAAATGGAAAATTCCCTTTCCGTCACCGCCAAAACAACGATGGATCAGTCACCGCAGATCAGCCAACTAAGAGCCCCTGGATCGCTGAGATCAATCAGGTAGTATGGGCAACTTTATGTTATCTGTTCCTTTCTGTATATTGACCATCACATCCTGGAACTATGATGCATCTCTTCTGATACTTTCGTCGGAGATAAACGATTCACTTCCCTCTTCGCTGTCCTCGACTGGATTTAAAGTAACCCCAGTATTTTGCCTGTGATTTAAGGCTCCTTGGAGCTTTTGATGTGTCTTAGACCGGACCACTTGAAAACAACGTGGCAATAACATCTGTTCGATGTCTGTGAAACCTTTGTCTCTAGCAATCTTTAAAGGATCATTGTCTAAGCAATCAGCGTGTAGTACGTTGACTTTCTGCTGCAAAAGGAATCGCACGGCATCTGTACATCCTTCTCGGGTAGCTAACATAAGTGGCGTTCGGTCTTCATCATCACGAGCACCAGCAAGACGATGAAATCCTTTGCATGTCGCTAAGCGTTCCAGAGTCCGAAGAGAATTGGTCGCGGCAGCCCAATGAATCACGTTCCTGCCCATTTCATCCATGCCGCTCAATGGATAGCCTTCGTCGATCAAGTAACGTGCTAATTCTTCGTTCCCAGCCTGAACAGCAGCGATCAATGGAGTACACTGCCGGACATCCACTGCTTTCTGTCTCTTTGGTCTTGTTAACGAAGCTGTTGCACTATTAATTGTATGCGAACAAGAGGCGGGAACGACCGTTTCTGTGTTTCTTTTTGGTAGTTGTGGTAGTGATGCAATCGTCGCCTCACGTTCCAACTGATATAACGCACTGGTTGAGTCCAACGCATCTGAAGCTGCGGCGCTTACCAACGCAGTTCTACCCTGAGAATCGGCTTGTAGAATATAGGCAGACTCTTCTGCTGATCCAATTACACCATTCAGGCGAGGAAGTGCAAGTGCAAGATCAGGACCACCATTGAACCGAGCAGCCATGTGTAACATTGTTTCTCCAGTTATGGGGTCTAAAACATAATTGCTTGTACGTTCATGTAAAAGAGTCATTGGGTGGTGACCGATACTCCTAAACGGGCATTCGTCAAGTTGCTGTTTGAGACAAACATACTGCTTTGTATCTAACTCTTCTTGTAGATTTTGTGTACAAGATACGCAGTCAAGACATGCCACTGCGTGTGGTGAGATTGGATGGAGACCGTCCTGAGACTGTATTAAATTTCTGAGGTATCTGTGCACCTTGTTATTTGTTTTCCGTTGTGAGTACAAACAGCTTGGCTGTTGTTTGAATGCTGAACGGCGTAAAAGGTCGCTTTCATTATTGACTTCCTGGAGACCGTTTCCCGACAGGGGTCGTTTCACCGATGGTTGTAATCTAGTTGATTCCTGTTCATGTGCACCACTGACCAACGGTTGCTTTTCGCTTGAGCTGGTATCGCACTCCTGTCAAATAAAAATAGAAAGTTTGGCCATACAGCGCAGTGCAATCAAAATGTTTTCACTATATATTTTCATAAATCGATGGTTACACAAACCTGACAAATGCTGATAAAAGTTGATCTCGGATAAGGTATGATTAGTTGAAACACATGTATCTCGTGTCTATTTTTACACATCGTATGCTGCTTAACACCTCCGTAGCTAATTGCTTCATAATATTCCTACTGCAATTTAGATTTGTTAAAGCTGACATTACCGCAGCAGTCCTTTCCAAAGGTGAATAGCTTAACTCGTTCACTCTTCTATATTCCTACCTGTTGAACTACAGAGGAGAAATATTCGAATACTACTGGCTGATTGGTATCCGACAGGTGCAATGATCTTTTACATTAGGAAATAACAATCTTTATAGCTCAAGTCGCTCCCATCTGTAGCGATTAGATCATTACATAGCTGCCTCTTGCTCCATTGAAATGACAGACAAGAGCGAAAGCCAAATATGTGTTAGCATTTCACAGACACACAGCGCATTCTATGCAATATCTTCATGTACTACTAGCGAAAATGCTATTTGTGCAGCTCTAACTGTGGGATTGACTGATCACGTTAAAGGACCCGTGCCTCGCCAAAGCATGCATACCTTATCTGCTAACTTGCATAATCAATAATTTTGTGATCCCCTGTACGAGTTGATTGGAACAATATGCTGGGCCGCGAAGATTCGTCGCGGTTAGACTCAGCTAGACAGCCAGTACACATTCCGGAAAGTTCTAGACGTATGTTTTGTCCTGTTGGGAATCTTCTCAGATTCGGGGGGTGCGCGTTGCTGACAGATCCTAATAAGTAGAGGGACTGCCTAGCGCTTTCCCGGATGTGCTGTCTGGTTGGGTCAGGCGGTGAGGAACAATCTCAAAAACACAGTAAAACTCCTAATACCCCCTGTTTATGAGTAACCGTCTTAGCAGATTACAGGCCAAGTCAATTGCTTGTACCTTGTATAAAAAGTCCTTACTCTGCAGGGTAGCCCTCTGCTCTACACGTTCATATCACGCACGACAGTGGTGGATGAGCTGCGCCAAAACGCAGTTAAATATCAGTCATGACGGTTGGTCATCGTCAACCATTATTCAATGGTATACGTCGCTGACTCGTAGAGTTACAGCCCGGCAGCATTTGGTGGATGCGTACTACTAAGGAGGCCCTGTAAGACGAAACAACCACTTAGCACTTACCTGGATGTGTAGTGCCTGGTTAGCTGAGTACAGCTGCTAGGAATAATCACACAATGAATCCCACCATCAGTCTCTACTCACCTGGGCATGTTTCACGCAGTCGAGAAATAAGACATTTGTTTAGTTAATCCATTGGTAAGGTAGTCAAGGAAAGATCGCTGCTAGTTTATACGAATCATCATATATGGCTCTGACCACACCTCCGTCCGGAGCGCTTGTTCCATACCTATTGACTTTGCATTTACTGTCTACACATTACTTGTTTAGTTAAAAAAGATGGAGAATAATTATAAACGGAATAGTTTGATAGTAATTGGGAGTAACACTGGTTGTTGCGAAAGACAATCGATGTGATTTTAACACGCATAGTTTTGAAGCAAGAAATCTGGTGTGTATAATAGGGTGCCCCTTGGTGAGTTGGTGAAGCATTGTTGTTATACTTTCTACGATTACACAGTCGCACGTAGACCTCAGGGAAAAATTCGTAATTGCAAGTGCATTTATGAAGTGTTACCCATAGCTTAAAAGTCAGTTTCTCTGATTCCAAAACTTGCTACTAATATTTCAAGGTTTTCACGCAAAACTGCAAAGTGCGTCCTTCTGTGAAAGACTGTTAGAGCATGGAATGCGAGCTTCGGTAATCAGGTTGATATCGGAAACAAAATGACTAGGTTTGGAAAAGAACAGGTAAAACTGTTTACAAGGCTTTGGCAAACATATAACGTACGGCTTCCAGTCGAGCAAATTTCCTGCGGGACAAAGCTTCGTCTCTGATCCAAGAACCAGTAAATTCGTTGTCCAGAGCACGCTTCTGCGAACTGGTTGACTGCTGTATAAAGTAACAAAGTTAAATGGGCTGGCGAATGATCAATTTGAAAGGCAAACAGGACGAACACTTCTAAGGTCAGTGAGAGGATATTCCCTTTGTTAAACATGCCGCCTACCGAATTTTTCGACGTGGAAGCTTGGGTAAAATACGGAATATAACATAACCACGTCGATAACTCAAAGATGACAAGAAGGAGCAGATACCAAGAGAAATGATCGAGAATGAAAATTGGGATCAAATTATGTACCATTTTTGTAGATTGGTCAAGTGAAGTTTGATCAACCTTGTTGCTGTTCGTCATGTTCACATGGGTGTAGTTAAACACTGTATACATGAGGATATTCTGGAGTATATACTGTGTGGTGTGGCATAGTCTTCAACATGGTGTGAGAGTTCCTTGTTTAACCAAATCCAATCCCTCGATAAAGTTTCCATTTTTGACCACACAACTTGTGGGAAGACTCAGCATTAACTAAGGTCATAAGCAAGATAGTTTGTATGTCTTAATGTGACACAATGGTTGCGAGAATCAATGTACTAGGATTTTCATTTAGAACAATATATTTTAGCCGTCAGCTACGTTTACGGTTGACCAATGATAAACAGCCAAGAACTGATCTTCTACATAACTACTTTTGTTGGGGGGCTAAGGATATTTTGTTTCTTTTTTATTTTTAAACAACTTTCACCTAGCACCGAGAGGGAAAGATGCGAAATTTCGGTTCAACTGTGCTTGTCAAAGAATCACACACAAATAGGAAGTATAGAGAACAAACAGAAAAAAGTTCAAAGATGTTCACAAAACAGTATTGTAATAAGGAAAAAAACTAGGTATCGGAGCCTAATGCATTGTCATCGGACGTAGTGTGAGCAATTACCAACCGCCAACAAGCAAATTGCGGCAGCGAGTTGGTGACTGCAGATTTTGATGGCTATCTCCTTCTTTGTGTGAATAATCGCGGTCAATCTTTTAAACACTGCTATCCTACACTAGTAGATGAGTTTTGTATCATATACATGTTCTAAATTATTTGCTTCTTGACTGTGACAAATACACATTGTTTATTGTCTCTTAAACACCTGAATGAAACCGAAATGAAACCCAAGATTTATTCAGTTATGCAGGCTAAATTAACGTAATTTTTAACACATTTATTTAAATATATGGTGGAATAATAGTCTAAAGCTGTTAATGTTGTGCGCTTTTCCCTTGTAATCGTCTGAGCCCTGAGGATTGTTCGACTGTTGTTAAAATACTCGCAACGTTATCCATTCGCAACATTACTCGATTTCATCATCATCATTGATCGAAGACCAATGCTTATTAAGCTGGCACAATTAATACCTAACAGTTTGTCAGTTCTCACCTAGTTTGTTGTTCATTTACATATAAAATATTCAGGTATTAACAGTTCGGAAGTTTATTCAGTCAGACAGAGATGTTGGTGATAGAATTCCGATCGACAGAAAGCTCCAGCTCACTGAAGACTTCCAGCTGCACAACCGTTACTTGCAGCTTCATAATTTGTCATCCGATGGACCAGTGTAGCTCAAACCTAGTGATTTCAAGCAAAAAAGCACAACTAGAACAACAATCATCACCAAGCAGGGTCACTCTATCAATAAGTTGGCGCCCATCAAAAACTCATTGCATAATTAAGAGACACTATTAGACAAGTGTCTAAGAAGTGACGTATATACCACCGACCTTTGCGAGGTCACTCGGGACCACTACCGAAGCGACGAACGGTCCTGCAGAGCACGTAGGCATAAACAGTGCAGCGTTTGTAGGCATGCCGCATTCAATTTACTAACCGCGTGTTGCATGCTAAGTCTGTTTATTTCGGGTGGTGGGATTTCAAGTTTATCCTAAGGCCTTTCTTTATAATTTAAGTGTCAACCTGTACTCTCTTCTACAAATTGCACACGTTGCTTAAGCCAATTGTAGTTACTCCCGATAAGATTTTCGTTTTTTTAGCACTTTTGTAAAATATACCTGCAGATTGCTGGAATTTATCCCGGATTCGTATGTAAACAATATTTCACACGCTCATAAATTAAGAATTCAGAAGAGCAGTAGGGGGAGTTGAATGGTATAGATAAAACTTCGTCACATCTAGTCCCACTCAGACAGCAGTCACACGATCGGAAAAGCACTGTACGCGCGTTTCATCCTTTCGGGAATCGTCAGCAGTGCGCATTCCATCGGATGCTGGTAGGGCTCGAACCCGCAACTCGACGGTTGCCAGTCCGTGGTTGAGATCACTGAGCTCGTCGCTTGGTGAATTAAATCACTCACCTGCTTTGGTTTCTTGTCAAAAACAACGTTAGCTAACTGTTCTTAAAGCAACACCCAATGGTCACTGGCGTCCAATCCCCTGACTCTGCCTTCTTTGTTACCTAAAACCCGGTGTTCTGCGCACTTTTAGATGCCTTCTGTTATCTCCATTCATGGCATCATTTGACCTTTTCGTGTGTGATTCATGATCAAACATGAACAAATATCAGTGCCTTCTCACGTGTTACATTCCTCCATTCCAAGTTATTCCTACATGATAACTTGACACCACCACTCTGTGTCGATACGTGGTGAACACTAATCTCTCGGTTTGAACATACTAAGCTGGAAACAATATCGCGTCACCTTGCGTGGTCGTCTGACCAAGGCTCAACTACTATAGTTTGCAATCGATCAATAATTCGACCCGGCGAACGTCTGCCTGACGATAGCCACGGGAGTCGATATAGGCGTCATCTGGTTGCAGTGACTAATGACTGGTCACTGGTAGCTAAACCAAAGTGCATAGGTAGTCAGTGACATGTTTTGATACGGATGATTTTGTTATTAAACTTGTTTAGCGACCGACTGATTATCCAATCCTCTTACTAATATTTACCCCCCCCCCGCAAAATGCCATTTTACCCCTTTGGGATAATTACTCCCAGGTTATGAACCCCTAACCTATCATTTAGGCGAAAAACACCATTGGTACCAGATTGATGAGAATGGCAGCGCGAACTGGGTAGTAAGCATACCAAATCAAGCAGATGAGGTGAGAAATCGCGACCGGATACTGACCTCTGGGAACACCGTGTCAATTTGGACAGCGGAAACGTTATCGCGAGAAGTGTGTGTGTGCATTGGAATTGTACTACTGTCTGAACCTAAGCCTGAGATTCGCTGACCTAGGATGACACATTTCCACCACTTCACTTGCATATATCTATGTTACTCTGAGAAAACTTTTGGAGAATCCTGCGGCAAACTTTGACCTTTGTAGGTCAGGTGCCAAAAGAAGATCGAGAAACAAAGAGAAACACTGTTCAGATTAAACAGATAACCGACTGTCCTTTATGATCGTCCAGAAACACTGTTTAGGTGTACCACCAACTCTAATAATAAACGCGTTGAATTGTGCAAGACTGTATATCATTGTGAATAATGGGCAGTCAATTTGGCAGTCGCAGTTTCAGAGCTAATTTACTAGGATAATAATTGTGGGGATAATAATGATTCTCCTATTGGTATAAAGCACAATGGTATCTTCAAGTGCACAAGTAGTAACTGCATCTAACGAACTGAACCACCTTTTGGTTTGATCGATGCATGCTACCAAAATGTCAGGTCGTCTTGACGTCAAAGTGTTGTTCCACACACCATGTGAGCTTAGGTTGAAAACCCTATGATACAGCAGTCAGTAGGTATGCTTGTGTTCCGACCAAAGAAAGGTTTATCAAATTGTGAGGAACCCAAACCACTTCCGCTGCCGTCAACTTGGCAACAACATGAAACTGAGGGGTCAACAGTTCGGCTAGAATGCTCCTAGAACTTTCACTCCATTCTCGGGTGTTAGCCATAGGATGCATTCCCTGATTACACTGCTTCCTTCCCTAATGTATGTGTGTTTATAAACGTCTTGACATTGCCCTAACCCACTTAAATTAGGAAATATAGCCAGTGTACGCCGTGAGAGGAAATCACATGTAAACGCTGGATCAAACAGCACCAGCCAACACAATCGAGGTAGGCTGTTTTACACTTGCTTCAAAGTAAGCTTCACCAAAATGCATTTAAACTTTTCACTCTATCCGCCATTCACCATTAGTGTAGTTCTCAACCTGGTCATCTTTCTGGACTCTTTATCCAGTTGCCCGTAATCTGTAATATACTATTTTGCCATTGTTCCATGTGTCAGAATATCAGGAATCTCCATACATTTATAACCTTTTATTTAACGTTCTGCAGTTCCGACTATTTCACTCGGTTATGAAACGGGCGAATACTGAACAGATACGCTCCATTTTATAGTGACTTCAAAGCTCCTGTTGTTCAGACTCTAGTTCATATTCGCTTTATCTAATTGTATACAAAAACTATCTGACAACCATTATTCGATGATGAGAGATGCATTTGAAATAGCCAATATGTATGCACAAATTTGAAGTTCTACCCATCTAGCTTCCCTCAAATACGCTGGCTAGCCGAACAACCTCCTCGTGGTGCCAACTGGGTGGTTCGGATTTAACTCATTCCAGCAAATAGTTCGGCGGCTGTGTTCCAGGACGTGGTGGGTTTTCACTTGGCCAGCGCTCTCCCTATAAAAAGCCACAAATGTCTGCTTAACAACACTGCGACGTGGCGGATTTGACTCGCCACAAACTAAAGTCACTGGCCCGTGAATATTCTGAAAATGCCATCCAATCCACGAAACTCAATCGCTTAATTTCACATTCCTGACGATAACAAGCAGTCAAAAATTCTGCGGCGCATTCAAAAACACAAGCTACTTTCCTACACAATTACATACGTAGATACACCCATATACTTACATACACTGTTATGCCAACCATGTCCTTGTTGTACAATTTGATCATACTATGTTCGTTAAATATGATAATGCCTGTAAAGGTATGACTCGCATTGTAGAGAATGAGATTATTTATTTATTTATTTATTTCTATAAAGCCGCATACGGAGTACGCGACTCAGGCGTGGTAAACTTGACTAGAACGCGGTCTGGCTACACTGAAGATCCCACAGCGAAGGGTAAACAAAGTGTGAACGTAGTGTTCCATCTGCCATGCTATCTGCTACTGAAATCCTTAGGGGTGTACAGCAGCAGATATCGCCGTCTACAGAGCGACCACTTTCTTGAAGTACACCGCCCACTCTTGCCGCCACCTGAAAAATAGTCGCAACACAAAAGTGAGGGGTCTCCAGTTGAAACTGGCCATCCGACACTGTCGGCTGGAATGTTGCTGGAATTAATTTTCATACGAATTTGTCAGGTGTGGAATGTCCTTTCATTACTGTGCCAACGTTGACCCTTTCTTAAAGAAGTTGACGATGAATTACACTATCTATTTTACTTAAATTTAATTCCGTTTATCTAGTGATGAGTAAACGCAGATAAACATTGTGTTCACCAGCACCATACGAAATTGGGGTCAATGGATTTATTTGTGTATTAACGTGGATAGTATGGTGAGTCCATAGACACCCGACTTAGCTTCTTGTCACATTTTTCGAACTTTGTTATCCACACAAATCATCCCACGATACCTTGACTACTTCTATCCATATTATACCATGGTTCCAGACTTTTATTGTGCAGCGAGTCATGCAACAACCTTCACGATGGCGCCGAACAAGCGTTCGCACCTTTCATCTAATGCCCACGCGAATAGAATGTAGCCCTTCGGTGTGCATAAGTCGCTTCGCGATTTAATTTGACTAGTCTACGGCATTCCATTTTATTTGTGTTCCTAACATGCTACTGACGCTTTGCTAAGTAGTTGTGTAAGGTCGCGTTTAATCAAAAGATGCTTACCACGTTTGTTCGAACGGCACTTGATGCCCGGCCATAAGTTGAGGCTTCAGCAGTAAGAGATTCAATCGGGTCTGGGAATCGAATCGTTTGGTCTACCGGCTTTGCACATTTCATTGTAGTCGCTACATTCTCCTGTTTGGCATAGGCGTCAATCGACTGTGGAAGTCGATGCTTTCCTTTTGCGAGCGCATCAGCAGTGTAGGTATGCAGAACAAGCGCAGATTGTGGTGGTTTCAAGCCCGGTCCCAGTGGAGGACACCAAATTCCACTAGTTCTCACTTTCTTCGCCAACGGTCGTCTTGATTCTCTTTGCAGAACCAGGAATATCACAAGAATGATTATGACTGATGAGGAGGAGAAGAGTTAACAATTGATGTTATTGGACTTCGGAGATCCATTTATCTAACGCTAAATAAAATGGGCTTCCAGTATACTTGCTGTACACGAACCTACATTTGCAGCTGATTTTTGATAGACACATCTAGATATCATTTCTAGCTGGAAAGTAACCTCAGCATATTTTTGTTGTCGGTGAAACGAATCTAAAGTTCTGTGTAAAGGCATTCACAAATGCAACAAAAAATTTTAAACGCAGTAGTTAAACCACGATTTTCGCGCCCCGCTCTCAATATACATCCAGACAGACATAAGGTGTAGTGCACTACACTGTCCCAAATCTCACAGGAAACTTTAGAATATATAGGCGTCACTTGCGCTAATAACACTCTCCTAAATCCAGATATGCCAAAAAGCTATGTATTCACCATTGACGTTCGTAATATTCCTGGCGGGAGAGCCTATGGTGCGCTGAGGCTGGTGGTGGCTGGATCCTGACAGATGGTCTACCCCCTGTTGCTACTGTTGTCCCATGGGATCTTGTGCTGGACGCCTCCTCATGGCGACCGCTGAGTGGGAGTTGGGTTACGCCCTTCTCCCTGTTAAGTTCCAGGACACCAATCAGCATGAGTCAGTGAAGTGCTCATGTGCTAGACTCGCTGCCGTTCGTGTGTATTTGTAATCGAAGGCTTTGGCTGAGGACCCGAATCGTTCCCTTGTCAGGTGTGCGCGCCCTGCCAGTATCCTAGTACATCCTCCTCGGAGGTTAGGAAGTGGTCGTTGGCCCTCTTCCCGTAAAACTTAGCCATAAGAGACAACAGGTCTACGGGTTATAAGCTCACAGCTCGATTGGTATAAATCACGAACGCCACTCATTGTCTTCGAAGGTGGGAGGACACCTCCGGGTGTTCAATACTTAGCTATTGTCCGTCTCGATCCAAACAGCCTCTGGTCAAATGTGTGCAAACCCGCCAAAACCCTCCTGAGTCTGGCCGTGGTCGCAGATTCGTATCCTACTACGGTCGCAAAACATATGTAAATTGTTGCAAATCTCCACAAGCTGCGTGTGAGGGACCTCAAGTAGATCCCAATCTGTCACTGCCATCACATTTTCGAGCTGGATCTGCTCCCCGCTGCATTGTAGTTCAGGCTATTGAGCCAAAGGCTCCGGGTGGTGTCCCTCACGCAAACTTCCAAAGTACAACCGCTACGTCGAGTGCGATTGCCCACCAACGCAATCGTATGCCTGCGCAAAACACTCAGCATCGGGTGCTGGAACGTGTGCGCACTAAAGGACCGGAACTCGTGTGAGTGCTTCGAACGACACGCTGCACTGGTCGCGATGGAACTGGCGCGGTACCACGTCGACATTGCGGCCATCAGTGAGACTCGGCTGGCTGAGCAAGATATGTTGCATGAAGCAGGTGCTGGCTACACATTCTACTGGGTGGGCAACGCCGCCTAAGCACCACGTGATCCTGGGTTCGGATTTGCAATATCCGATCGCCTCCATAGCCAGCTGGTGGGTGAACCAACTGGCATCAGCGCGCTACTGATGACTGTTCGCCGACGACGAGGAAGAGGTAGGTTTGCGCCGTGTGTTATCCTGATGACACGCGTGATCGATGCTGCACTTAGCTATCCCCCGTGATACGGTCTATGCCGGGGAGCGAAAGAGAAATTCTGTTGGGTGACTTCAACACGCGTGTTGGGCGTGATGAATCGGTGTGGACAGATGTCCTCGGTCCGCGTGGCATTGTTTCAACGAATGCGAACGGTGACAGGCTGCTCTCACTGTGTGCCACTCACGGTCTGATGATCACGAACATTCGGTTTGCACTGAGTGCGAGTGATATAGCAACATGGACGCACCCACGGAGTGGTCACGCTCACTTACTCTACTATGTCATCATACGTCAGCGTGACATGCGTGAAGTGCGTGTGGAGATGAGGGTGGCATTGATTACAAATTGGTACGGACCAAACTGTACCTATGTTTTCGTAAACCTCTGTTTTGCACTCCTGCCGTGAACCGGAGTAAATTTAACATTCTGCTCTTCGGTACTGTGGCCAAACGTATTGGGCTAGAGAAGGCGATGGCTGCACGCTTTTGTGATGTGGCATAGCCACAATGGGCGGTTTGTGGCACCACATTCGCGGCCAGATGACATCTGCTGCCGAGGAGACCATCGGGCGCGAAAACTGTAGGCGGCCCGATGGGTTTGATGAGAACAATGCGACGATTGGCCCATTGGAGTCGGAGAACAATGCAGCATTTGCAGCCCATGTCACAAACCCCAATGACTCGGGGAAGAATAGCAAATTTCGCAAACTTCAACGGCGATTGACCCGAGAGCTCCGTTGCGTAAAGTGTGTATGGTGGACGCAGAAAGCGATGTAAATGGAATGCTAAGCCGAACGCCGCCAACGCAAGGAATTCTTTGACTCCTTGAAAGCGGTTTTGCACCGTGATTTGAGCCGCTGAGGACGCTGATCGATGGTATCTCAGGCCCTACCTGCACACAGACAGCAGACATAATGCACCTCTGGCGGGAACACTTGTATGTTTCTTAAACGACCGGTCAGAGATCGACTGGCCTATTTTGAATAGCCTCAAACTGCGCTAGGTGAAGATGAGTTTAGCGGACAAGCTGACACTGGGTAAGATGCAGAGAGTACTTGCTCAGCTGCGAAACGGCAAGTGAGCCAGTGACGAGGAGATCTCGCCTGAAGTATTGAAACACGGCGGACCCGCATTGGTGAATGCGCTGCCCCACGTCGTGCAATGTGTGTGGATTGAGAAGGAGTTGCCTACCGAGCTGAAGGATGACCTTGTGCTATCACTGTACAATGGCAAAAGGAGCAAGCAATGTTGTACGAGTTATCTTGGCATCAACTTGCTGCTTCGTGTAGGCAAGGTGATCGCCCGAATCCTGCTCAACCGCCTTGTCAGTCAGGTTGGGGAACCGAATGTGTTTGCGGCTCGTCAGTTGAAGGAGAAGTGTAAAAATTAGCACCTGCCGTTGTACCCGCTTTTTGTCGATTTCACTAAGGCACATGAGAAGGTGCATTGCAAGGCATTTTGGCTGGTGTTGGGTAAATTTTTAAGTTTAATTTTATGCCACACAGTGGTATGCGAACGATGGTGCAGCTGAGTGGACAGACCTCGGATGACTTTGCAGTTATCTCTGGTGTGAAGCAAGGTTGTGTCACAGCTCTTGCCCTGTTCAATATTTATCTTCATACCATGATGTCTTGTGCTTTTGATGCGGCTTGTGTTTAAGGTGTTCGTGTGGAGCAGCGTATTGCTCGTGGACATCCGTCGTTTCGGTGCGGGAACTCTAGTCTGTGAGACAACTATCCGTATGTTGCTGTTTGCTGACGACTGTGCGTTGTTTTCACACAGTGCGGATAGTTTGCAGCACATGACTAGTGCTCTGGCTTCTACAGGGACAAACTTCGGGCGCACCATCAACAAAGCAAAAATGTCTGCCTCTTTGCCTTCACCGGAGTTGCAATATGCAGTGTTGCCGCAAATCAGCATTGGTGCTAAAGTATTGGGAACCACCTAACGCTTCTGCTACCTTGGGAGTGTGATGTCGACTGACCAGCAGATACACAATGAGCTGCGTATCCGCGTCTCGAAGGCAGCGGCGTCATTCGAGAATTTAGAGTTCCGAGTATGGAACAACCATCAGCTTACCGTTAGCAGAAGCTGATGGTGTACAAATGCATGGTGCTGTCCGTTCTTCTATACGGCAATGAAACGTGACCGACGTACCGGCGGGATGTGCGATATCTCGAGCGGTTCCAACAACAGTGTCTGCGATGGATTCTGCGCATCAGCTAGAGCGACAGAGTTGCGGACACGGAAGTGTTGCGCCGAAGTGGAATGTATACAGTGGACTGTATATTTTACTGAGACATGAGGTGCTTCGGTCATGTGTGGCGTATGGATGCGACACGGATACCGAAACAGCTATTATATGGTCAGCTGAGTATTGGGAAGCAGCATGTGGGGAAACCGAAGCTTCGTTACCAGGACAAGATCAAAGTGATCCTCCCACGCTCTAATCTTCATTGCCGGGGATGGAAATCGAAAGCGGTTGATCGGCGTGCATGATGCGATCTGGTCACGATGGCAGTTGCCGAAGTGCAGCAGAAAGACCTCATGCATGCGGAGAAGAAGCGGCAGTTGCAGATGGGTTATACTCCGTCGATATACAGCCCATGTTGCTGTAAATCATGCATGTGGGAGTTCCTGAGTCAGGCAGACCTAGTTTGCCATGAGCGATGCCCCTCGGGACCATCACCGAAGCGACGACGAGTTCTGCAGTGAAGGTAGGCAGAACGGGCGCAACATTGCTAATTACGCTGCTCTCGATGTACTAACCGTATGCTTGCATGCTGAGTCTCTTTATCCCAGGTGGTGAATTTGCTATATTCTCCTAATTCTTTTTATCTCATACTAATGTCTACCAGAACTATCATCTTTAAACTTGCATTCGTCCCTTAAACTACTTTTGTTAACTTTGATAACATTTTCTTGTTTGTGGCATTTTCTTAAAATATATTGTATGATCTCTTGATGTTATGGTGGATTTGTTCGTAACCAACTTGTTTCATAATCGCATTTAATGAAAAGTTATGTCACCGTATCTCTATGCATTATTCGCTTTATCCTATTTGATATCATCATTTCAAGTAATTGGCTGTTGTTTGATATCCCAGGTGTGGCTCTGCTTAATGTGCACGTTGATAAGGTACCTACCTGTCTGTTACCCACTACCTCGTCCATACTGGCTGCAGGAAACAATTGGTCGTTGCTGGACGGGACGGGGTGCACAGTCCTTGTGGCTGTGCTAGGCTCAAAGAGTGGTTCAATGCACTCAGTGTGGAGCGGACTGTAGTCTAGCCGCCGCTTTGTATGCCCTAGATTCCCCAAATACAGCATGCTTGTGTTTGCCTGTGAAGGAGTGAGGGCCGGCTCCGTTGATGAAACGTGGCTCCCATCCACATTCCTCCCGGTCTTATTTCTTCGGTTTACACTGTATATTGGGATTGTGGTTGGAGCTGTGGGTGGTACAGCGCAAGCCACCCATGGTCCCTCTGTAGGCGCAGGTGTCCTGTGGCTGGTCACAGTGACAGGCAAATCCGAAACCGGATGCCGACAACCATAATCTTCCAACTTATGCGTTCCTTCCTGAGCCGCCTTCAATAACCCACCACGTAATATAACTGCTTAATCAGGCCAGTATTCTTCAAACTCCTAGCACCTAACAGCTTTGTCTTCACTCCCCAAAACATCTTCACCACACTTGTTCCCATTCTTCACCTGTTGACCTGTTTTATTGGTTGCATACTTGCTGTTGCAATGATTATACGAGCATTGAATGTCAAACTAAAGATTTATACAATCTTCTCACTCAAAACCACTAAAATAGCGTTGCTCAGCCGACTGCATTGCACTTCGGTTAGTGCGACGGAGTTTAACCTGATTCGTCGCGCAGATTGTACTTGGTTAACTGGCGCATTACCCTTAATACCAGCAAAGAACCCCTGTGAAAGCAGGTTGTGTACAACTTTCAATCTCGGATATTTTAGTCTTTCGTTTGAAAAAGGTAAATGCCAACATGCCTTAAAAATATAGCGATGTTTGATGAGGTTTGAGAATATTTTCACCCAAGAAAATTACTTGGCTTCGATGAAGCACTATAGAAGTATAAGAGGGATATCCATTGTTAACCAAGTTTGATATTTATACAACGAATAAGACTTCCTACGTCGATGACTAGCATGTTTATTCATTTGTCTAGTTAGCACTCACTTGTAGCCAACACGCACAGACATACATACAAAGCAATTGCCTCTCCGGTTCGTAGTACAATTGCCCAGGTCTGATTGTTCGGGATGAAGAAGTTGAGATCAGCTGGATCAGTCACTGGTCTGACCTGTCGCAGAGCCAGTGGGCTGTGGTACTGAGCAGTGGTCAGCATGGCGTGAAGATAGCGAGCCAGGTCAGTGGAAGACAACCCCGAAAGATTATGCGGTTGAGTCCGATTTAGAGCACGTGCACTTTGCTCGCCTGATGCTGCAACAACCAACTGGAGGAAACGGAAACATCGTTTAAGCGATTACCGAACAGCTGGTCTCATTAATAACTAATTCAAATCCTGTCGCGATTCAGTAAATGTTATTTCAACACAAACCTCAAGTTTTGCGTTTGGCTGTATTCTGCCAGGTGGTTTGACATAAGGAAACGCCAAAGGCTTGTTGGTTTCTCGATTTGGATCATTGGCGTAGGGTGTTAGGCACCACCCGTATAAGAGCACAATGAGCAAGAAGAGTGATCTTTTCCTTTTGTTCGAATTCCACCTCAGCTAAATGCAGTGAGCTCGGTAACTTCTGGACCCCTGTCTGATTTAGTAGGATCGAAGGAACTTCATTTATCTTGGTATCAACTGGCACATAAATGGGAAATGAGGAAACCAAACTAATTATGGAAAACCACATACATTCTAGGTCTCGTTAGCAATAGTCTCCTGTGCTCATTTCTTTTATGATCCTAGGAACAAGGTATCTGGTAGCTGCCAATAGAGATTTGCGTTGAACCTCTAGACACAGAATGCTACAGCGGAGCTGTGACTGTAGTCAAATATTGCTTTGACACTCTCGGGAATTAACACATTGCAACATAATGGTCCTTCTTCGTTCGTGTATAGCGAACGGACTAAAACGGCCAAGCAAACAAGCTGCGAATGCACTTCAATAGCAGTACGTGTCAATCTCTAATGTGTTTCTAACATTCTGACCCACTAGTAGGTATTGTTGCCTCACTAAGAAGTAAACCTACATACCATATGGCGCACACTGTCTTGGGCAAGTAGTTATCTATGCGCGCACCTAACTCCCTCGGAATTGTTGGTATTCGTCGAAAGGGTTTGTCATTGACGCTAAAGAGCTGATTGAAACTTTATCGCGATTATTCTGGCCCTGTCTAGGTGACAGTCACGCTACAACAGTGTTTAGTCCCGAAGTAATAACCGCGGTTTACAAAAGAAGGAGTTGAACTGGCCCAACTAAATAGCATCCAGTGACTCTTCAACCATTGATTGCAAAATTTATAGTGGTTACCATCGCTAAAATGCTATTGTTTTACCTGGACGAAGTAGGAGACGCCGCGCATGAATATGGTTTCGGCTGGAATCGTACACAACCAACTGACCCTTACGACTAGAAAGTTGGAAAGAAACAGCAGATTTTGAAGCACTAGAGGTGTTTCTTATCTCGATTTCTCTTACACATTTCACCAGTAGGACCATTTTATATCCATCTCACCAAGCATCGGGGATACAGCATTGGTAAAACTGTCCTATGGTGGACCAGTAGCATTCACTAGTGTAGTTATCTGAACGTGAAACTTTGTGAATATACGTCAGATTTTGTCAAAGTCGATGTGCACCGTATGGTTATGTATAGTGGTTCCGTCACTTTTTGATATTTATTAACAATCAAGTGTGCTTAAGAAATTAAATCTGATTGGTGTTTACCAACGATATCCACGTTTGGTGGGCGATCAAAGTGCAAGACCACCGCGAATATCTCCAAAACCATCTCGATAAGATGTATGGATGATCTGTCCAGAAATCTTTTAGATTCAATTTAAGATATTGCTGTAGGCTCCGTTTACAGAACTAATTAATCCACACATATAAGGTGCGCACCCAAAATCTGAAGCATTGCTCACACGAAAAAGATCTCAAAGTTCTGGTCCAGGAAGACCACGACTTCTCGGATTAGTCCGAAGTAGCATCAATACAAAGCATCAAGAACGTGTGCCCCTTCGAGAGAACCTCTACATGAAGGCTTGCAGGTACACAATCCCACCCTTGGAAACTGCAATTAAAGCACGGCAGTCATGGCTGAAGCTGGGTCACACGATTTTGAAGATCCAGCTGTATCGAGCCATCATAATTATCAAAGGGTTATATCACCTTGTATATGAAAACAGTCACTGGATACTTTGGGAGTTTTCCGTGGACGCTATTAGCGTTTGCGTGGTGACCTTATCACGGTTTGCCAGATTTTAAACAACCCAAATGACTCGCGCTATCTTCTGCTTAAGCTCAGGCAAATAGCAGACTGACAGTCTACCGTCTCAGACTAGCAGAGCAATACAGTCGACTGGAATGTAGACGGAACCTTTACTGGCTACCTGCCTGTCATCCAGAGTTCCCTCTCAGCTGTTATTTCAGACCACCCAACAACTATGTTCAAAGTTAATGTCGACAATGCGCTGGCCTCATTATTCCACGCCCTATAAGTCAAATGACCCATACGAACATCGGACAACCAAATCGCATCAACCCACATCACCTTTGACTGGAAAACCAAAACCTTTGTCTAAGTAAACTGTATAAAATCATAGGCGAACGACTTGGACTGACAACATTTTGTTCCCCCTTTTCATTGTTCATGATCTTTCAATGGTTATAATTATCCGTCGTGTTCATTTTGGAACCCTAATCTGACATGTTAATTTTCGGCATTTTTATCCATATACATTAATAAGCGCTGAACTCGCCGATAAAGTGAAAGCTTCGTAGTACTAACGAAGAATTTTGTGTGCACTTCAAACACGGATGCCCAGTTCCGTGCTCCATAGGTCGAAAGTAAGTTGATCTCAACGCAGTAAAATCTGTAGTTGTGCTAACGTGGACCATTTGAGTTGTGTCCCAAAAGGTGATACGATTTCATTAACATTTCGCTGAAAGAACAATACATGAGAAGTCATAACCGCCAAAAACACATGTTCCCGAAAATACGTAACGAGTTTCTTCATAACCACCAACTCGTAAAGTACAGTACGATCTTGCGAGAAAAATTCATGCTTAGTCTTTTCTAATTTACACTATTTTGAAGCCTTGCTGTGATACGGCAGGTCTTCATGTATCTATGCTAAAGTGCCCCAGTGATACTAAGTAAACTTACTCAATATCGATTACGTCATGTGATGAACCACTGGGCTTTATTTCCATATTTAAAAGCTGACCGCACTAAGTTGATGCTGAATTCGAGATGCCAGGGATGTCGCTTGTTGCAGATGACCATTGCCACAGGTGGTGAGTTACCTCTCTGTTACTGCAACGACGTACATTATAAAGCAATTAACCATGAACAATGGTTTATCACGGGATAAAGCAAGTGCTTGACACGTCCCGTAGAATGGTTGGGGTGAATACGATGAAATCAAAATATATGTGGGTCATCTACCAAACGTCTGCCGAGATGAATACTTTGATAAATAACATCAGTGTAAAATTACTAAGTCGCGCGTAAACGTTCAGCAATACACTGGGGTGCAGTGATTGTTGATATAAGGCGTTAGGAAAGTAAAATATGATCGCTCACTTGGGTCCATTTGATACATAAACCCTGTAGGAAAATATGCTTGGCGTGATTCACAATAAAGGAGTTTAGGTAACAAAATGCTGGGAGCTAAGAGCAACCTCCAATCGTTTTTTGAATAGGTCCAAAGTAGGGGAGGATACAAGTTGAGTCTGGGAGTGCGTTCCAGGGTTGGCATACCCGAAGGGAAAACTAATTCCGCCGACACTCTAGACGGCTATATTGTTCCGTCAATTTTATGCACTTACCCCTGAGCTGCGTGTTGTGGCTAAGTTTCAGCAAAAGGCGACATAGGTGGTTGGGGTCACTCAATATCTGATACGCTAATATGAGATCACCGCGCAGCCTTCGATAGCGTCCGCTGAAAATTCCCAGCAACTTCAGCCTTCGGTGGTAAGAGTGGTAGCGCAAGCCCTCTCATTCTTTGTTGCTGTTCGTTGTGGTGCCTCTAACGCTTCTAGGTCGCGCTTCAACCAAGGTTGCCAAGCTTGGATAGCGTATTCAACATGCGGGCGCAAGTTGGAATTGTGCATCTTTGGGAAGATTGATAGGTCAAATCTCCCGAATGCCCTTCGCAGCATGCCGACGTGCTGGTTGCCTCTTTTTTGCAGCTACCTCAGCCTGTTTTGAACAGTTGAGGTCGCTCTGTACGATCACACCAAAGTCACGTTCCTGGGAGCTGGTCTGCAATCCGTTTGTCCCAAGCAAATACGTGTAGTTATATCTACGGCGTAGTTGTACAGGGCGACATTTGTCTATGTTTAATTCTAGGGCGTTTTGAACTGACCAGTTTGACACGGTGTTAAGTTCGCACTGGAGCCGTTCGTGGTCGTCCGGTCCTCTGATCCTTCGCCATATCTTGATACCATCAGCGACAAATAAGAAATCTGAAGCAGTTGATCTCGCCAAATCATTAATGAACACCAAGATAGACGAGGTCCAAGCACCGAGCATTGTGGTATACCACACACCACATCGATTGCATCGGACAATGATTCTCGGACTCTCGCTTCTAGCCGTCGTTCGTGCAGGAAAATTGCTACTCCCAAGCTCCTGACGGAGAATTCGATGGTCTAAGCGATCAAACGCTTTTGAAAAGTCCAG